CTCTCTCTTTCTCTCTCTCTCTCTCTCTCTCTCTCTCTCTCTCTCTTCTTTTTGGTCTTTTTGAGACAGGATCTCCCCGTAGACCCAACTGGCCTGGAACTCACTATGTAAAGCAGGCTGGCCTGGAACTCACACCTGCCTCTTCTTCCTGAGTGCTGGGATCAAAGGCGTGCACCATCATGCCTGGATAGCCCCTCTGAATTTCTTTATGTATCTTTGCCGTGCAGATCTCTTTTATCTTTTTGACATAACTTTGCTCTTTATGGTACATTTTAGTAGACACACCTTTTATGTTTAAATGTAGTTGAGTTAATCAATACATCTATGGTTTATGATTTTTTTTTTTGGTCTTTTTGAGACAGGGTCTCCCTGTAGCCCCAGCTGTCCTGGAACTCACTATGTAGACCAGGCTGGCCTTGAACTCACAGAGATCTGCCTGCCTCTGCCTCCCGAGTGCCGGGATTAAAGGCGTGCGCCACCACGCCCATCTCCTGTGCCCTTTTAAGGTTGACATAGAAGAGTAAAGGCACTCTCCATAAAACCCAGAGAAGAGACTGTACATTTCCTTTTTGGCTCCTGTCTGGAGTCACAACTGCACATGGAAAAAAAACAGTGCAAGCGTGATAGGAAATGAAAAAATATCCTTCACAACACAGGGCTTGGAGGATCTAGAAAGTGTACAGAAAATGAACTGTCAATTTAGGGGCTGGATTATGAGGAACTCATTATACAAGTAAATTGAGATTTTCTTGTGAAAATGATGTGGACCCACTGAAAGATTTAATCATGGAGGCAAACAATCTAAAACTCATACCTTTATCAAGTACAGTGTGAGGGATGAAGCCAGGCAGGCAGGTGGGTTAGAGAACAACATCAAAAAGAAGGTATGGTGACACACACCTGTAATTCCAGCCCTTTTTGACTACTGAAGGTACTTTATATATGAGCAGTGTTACTGTGTTTGTCTTTCTGTGATTGACTTGTTCACCTGATGTGTTTTTCTGCAGTGTTTATCTGTGTGGCAGCATATGTGAGAATTCTCTTCCTTTTTAGGGACAAATGACATTCCGTGCATGTATACATATCTTGCTTATCTACTTGTGTATGGATGGATGTTTGGGTTGCTTCCACATTTTTGCTATTACAAATAATGTTTCTGTGAACAGTGGTACACACATTTGTCTCTCAGACCCTGCTTTCGTGTATTTTGGTATATAAGCAGAAGTGTAATTGTTGAATCGTGGTAGTTTTTAATCTATTTTTTTTGAGGAACTGCCATATTGTTTTTCACAACAGCTGTATCATTTAACATTTTTACCAACAGTATACCCAGGTTCCAAATTTTCAACACATTAAAAAAAATTTGTCAGCATTTTTAGTAATACTTTTTTAAAAAGCTATCCTAGAGGATGTGGCATGTTCCAAATTTTCAACACATTAAAAAAAATTTGTCAGCATTTTTAGTAATACTTTTTTAAAAAGCTATCCTAGAGGATGTGGCATAGTATCTCACTGGTTTGTAATTTGATTTAATTTTGAAGTTCCATTATATTTTTTTCTTTGATTCATTGGCTATTTAAGTGTATTATTTAATTTCCACAAATATATGAACTATGTAGTGTTATTTTTCCCCAATTTCTAACTTTGTTCCATTATTGTTGAAGATACTTAGTATTACTTCTTTCTTTTAAAATGTATTGAAACTTAATTTGTGACCTAACAGATATTCTGTGTTATGGACTCTTCCATATGCTCTTAAGAAGAATGTGTATTGTATTCTTGTTGAAAACTGTGAATTATATTCTTGTTGTTGAATAGCATGTCTGAACCTGTCTGTCAGATGTCATTGGTAGGTTGTATTTTGTCTTCTGTCGCTCTGCTTAGCTTTCTAATTGTTCTATCTAGCATAGAGAGTAGGGTATTGACATTTCCAACTACTATTATAGAACTGTCTATTTTCCTTTCAATTCTGATTATTTTTGCCTCATGTGGATGGTCTATTATTAGTCATGTAGGTGTTTGTAATTGTTATATTCTTGCAGTGTTGAGCAAGAATACATTTTTATTATAATGAAATATATGTTACTAAAAGATATCCTTCCTTGTCTCTTGCAGCATTTTTAAATTAAAACCTGCCTAATATTAGTGCGCCACTGTCGACCTCCGTTGGTTTCCACTTGTATGGAACACTCCTTTCCATTCTTTTGCTTTCAGTGTGTTTGTGTCTTTGGATCTAAAGTCTCTTTTACACAGGATTTAGTTAGATCATTTTAAAGAAATCTTTCTGGCAATTTCTGGGTTTGGATGAGGGAGTTTAAATGATCTACGTTTGAACTAAGCTCCATGGAAGACTTCCTTTTGCCATTTGTTTTTTTATATTCCTCATAGGTTTTTAGTTTCTTGTTTCTTGCAGGACTATCTTTTCTGAAATTTAATTATCTTGTCATTTCGCTTTGTGTATATTTTATAGTTGCTGTTTTGTGGTAACTATGGGGATTAGATTTAGCATCCTAGTTATACACTGTACTTTGAATTTATAAGCTTGACTTCAATAACAAACAAAAGTTCCATTTCTTTACATCTCAAACCCACCTTCCCAGTTATTGTCACCCGGTTAACCTCTTTATACCTGTATATCCAGAATCCTAAACTACAAATGGACTTTGAAAATGGCTTAGTCTCTTAAATGATGTAGAAAACAAAACAAAATTTAGAGTTATAAACTAAAGTTATAATAACACTGGGTTCCAGGTGAATATATTTTAATATAAAAACAGAATTTATAGATACAACATGCTGTTAAACTAATATGAGCTTTTAAAATTCCCATATATTTACCTTTACTGAATCTTTATTTCCTCAGGTGATACTGAGTTGCTGTCTAGTACCCTTTCTTTTAACATTCAGTACTATTTGTAACATAGACATAGTGGTAACAAACTCCCTCCAATTTTGTTTATGAGATCATGCTCTAATTTCTCTCTTACTTTTGTAGGACACTATTGCCAGATAAAGAATTCTTGGTTAACAGGTTTTGTTTTCTGGTTGTTTTATTTATTTATTTATTTATTTTTGGTTGTTGTTTTTTAGCATTTTGAATATAGTAGCATACAGCCTTCTAGCCTCCAGAATGTCTGGTGAGAATCTGCTGAAAAGCTTACTGATAATCTCTTGAATGCCATTAAATCACTTATCTCTTGTTACTGTCTTTTTTGGCCTTTGATAGTATGATTATAATGGTCTTATTGTGGATCTCTTTCTATTTGGAGTTTATTGAACTTACTGAATATTTTTATCCATATCATTCATCAAACTTGGAAGTTTTCAGCCATTATTCTTCAAATTATCTTTCTGTTCCTTTCTCTCTAACTCCCACAGCATATTTGTTGGCAAGCTTGATGGTGTTCTGCATTAGTTACTTTTCTGTTGCTGTGATAAAACACTGTGACCAAGGCAAATTATAGATCGAAGAGTTTATGTGAGTTTATAGTTCCTGGGGTAAAGGACCTTAATGGTGGAGGAGGCATGGTAGCAGAGGTGTCCAGAGCAGAAAGCTGAGAAATCACATCTTCAAGTAGGCACAAGAAGTACAGAGCCACAGGAAATCCAGCAAGACTGGAGTATTCTCAAAGCCTGCCCCTCAGTGACCTGCTTTCCTCAGCAAGGCCACACCTCCTAAAACTTCCCAAAACAGTACCACCAACTGGAGACAAAGTGCCCAGATGCTTGGAACCTATGGGGGACATTTTCTTTTTTCTTTTTTAAAATTATTTATTGAGAATTTCATACATGCACATAAGGTATTTTGATTAAATCCATGCCCACTCCCTCCCCTCCAATTCCTCCCATATCTCCCTATGGGAGACATTTTCATTCAAACCACCACATGCTCCCAAATTCCTTAGACTGTATTTACTTTTTATAATAATATTTTCTTTGTATGTGTGTGTGTGTGTGTGTGACCGCCTGTCTATGTACATGTGTGTCTTTGTGTCTCTGTGTCTCTTTGTAGGCTAGAGGTTAATGTCAGGTGTCTTCCTCAATTGCTCTCCATCCTATTTTTTGAAATGGAGACTCTTACCAAATGTAGAAGCCAATTTGGCTAGGCTCATTGCCAGTGAGCCCTGGCATCCTCCTCCTGTCTCTACCTCCCCAGTACTGGGATTACAAGCACATGCCACTGCTTAGGCTTTACATGGTGCTCAGATCTTCATGTTTGTGCAGCAAATACTTTACCAACTGAGCCATCCCCCCAGCCAGCCTTTTCCTCCCTATTTTGTTCTTTAGACTCAATAATTTAAAATATATCTATCTTGAAGTTTGTTGATTTTTTTTCTTTTCCTTGCTTAAATCTGCTTTTGAATCCCTACAGTGAAAATTTCATTTGTTATATTTTTCAGTTCCAGAATTTTCAGTTTCTTTTTAGGTTTTTTGCCTCTATTGAAATTTCTATTTCATTCATTCTATTGTAAAATAATACTAACTTTTATAATTGCCCATATACTTACATATTTTTCTTTTAAATAGGTCACACTTTCCCATTTGTGTGTCTTATGATTTACTGAAAACTGATTCCAATATGTGGTAATTATAGAAGTCAGATTCTTGCTTTTCCCCATAATTTGCTATTTTTTATTTTTGGTTAATTACCTTGGTGTGTCTTTGCATCAAGGATCAGCTTGGAATATAAACGTAAAGCTTGTCATGTCTATTTTTCTTTTAAATAGGTCACACTTTCCCATTTGTGTGTCTTATGATTTACTGAAAACTGATTCCAATATGTGGTAATTATAGAAGTCAGATTCTTGCTTTTCCCCATAATTTGCTATTTTTTATTTTTGGTTAATTACCTTGGTGTGTCTTTGCATCAAGGATCAGCTTGGAATATAAACGTAAAGCTTGTCATGTCTCTGCTGAACGTGTACCTTTATTTGAGCACGTGTATGATTAATTTCTCCTGTATATTTCATTGCATCTGAATGTTCTCTGATTTCTCAAAGGAGAAAAATGAAGTGGGGAAAGGTGCCGGCCCTCTTAAATCCCTGGAAGTCCCCTTGAGCCATCTTGAGAGACAATGGCCTCCTGCTTATGAGTCTGCTTCCAAGAAGAAAGCAGCAATCAGCAATGAGAATACAGATCCCCAAACTTTGAAGAATGAAGTTCTCACTGGCCGTCCTGGTTCCCCTAACCTGCATGTACACTGCTCCAGGAGTGCAGTATGGCCACCTGTGGAGCACGAGGAGGAGGGTATGAAATGGGGAGCTGCTGCTGAGCTGAGAGCTAAGATCGACTGCTATTAACTATGATTCACTGTTAAGCTTCTTCCTGAACATTGAGCACTTTCCGTAGATTACAGCAGACCTCTCAAAACTTTCTCTACTCTTTTTCTTGTTTTATTTCATAAGATTAAAACTATCGATCTTGGTTTTTTTTGTTGTTGTTTTTTTTTTTTTGTCTTTTGAGACAGGGTCTCCTTGTAGCCCCAGCTGTCCTGGAACTCACTATGTAGACCAGGCTGGCTTCAAACTCACAAAGATCCACCTGCCTCTGCCTCCCAAGTGCTAGGATTAAAGGTGTGCAGCACCACGCCCCCGACTAAAAACATTATTTAAAGTTATAGCTATTAATTTTTATTTTTTTCTTTCTTTTTTTAAATTATTTATTTAATAACCACATACTTAGAAGAAGCATATCATTACAACACAATTGACATATTCAATAACGGTTTCCTGAGGTAGGATGCATCTCTTTCAAAATTGGCTGTAAATTTTTAGGTTTACAGTTGAATTATTACAGTTATACAATATTGTACTCAGTATAAACCCTATAAGACATAAATTAAATGACGTTTTAACCTTTAAAAAAGATCTCCATTTCATTATTAAAATACACAGTTTCATACAGAAAAATTCTTTTTCAATGCAATTGACATT